GCCTCAAGTGGAGGAGTTTAAGTATCTGGGGATCTTGTTGAACGCCTTGGAGTTCCCCCGGAGGAGCTGGAAGAAGTGGCTGGGGAGAGGGAGGTCTGGGCCTCCCTTCTGAAGCTGCTGCCCCCGCGACCCGACCCCGGATAGGTGGAAGAAAATGGATGGATGGATGGATGGATGGATGGATGGATGGAAAGCAAAAACAAAGTTGTCAAAGTATTTTTTACTCAGATTTGCTTTCATGCTGTAAGTTCTCTCTGGGCATTTGCTTTGCACGACTTTATGTTTGCAGTTAACTTTGAGATGACGTATTGGCTGTGAGTGATTTATTATAGTTAATTATAGTTTATAGTAAACCTTGTGTGTTTCTGATGTGGATTTTCTAATGATGTTTGCAGTTAAGTTGTTATTTTGACTTATTATGAACTGTTTTTGAAGGAACAAATAAACAGATTTATGACTTTTAAAGTACTGGACTTATCATGTTATATAATAAATAGAGAGACTTTTCTGATTTTTGCCTCCTAATAATTCATTTATTTATTTTCATAACTCAAATCACTTTAATAGAACACAAAATCAACCCCACCCCTCTTTTTAAAACACTGTGATCATATAAAACTTTCCAGACAAAATGAAAAGTAAATTCACCAATAACAGAAGTTCTGCTTTACATCAAATTTCAATCATCTGTAAGGAACCAAGATCTCTATTTTAGAAAAGCTTCTTAATTCCCATGACTTGGATAATAAAGGAACAAAAAAGAATATATTTTTCCTTTGCCACCTTGGTACTTGTACGTTTTTGACAGGTAGTTTCGGTACCAGAAAAACAAAAAGGGGGTCAGTAAGGGTTCGCTTCTCTTTTAAGAGTGGAAATGAAAAATGTCAAGAGATAAAAAGAAGAGATACTGTCATGAAAAAGAAATGAAAAGCAATATAACAAGGCTATTATTAGTGCTGACTGAAAAGAAATGGAAAGTTGGGCAATGAAAAAGTAAAGACTTTGGTATAAAAAAAAGAAAGTAAAAATGTTATGGAAACATTGCAGGATGTAATTGAAAATTAAGTTAAATGGAAACAGGGAGAATGTTTGCAACTTTGGATATTATTCTGCTGTTTTTAATGTAACCTCTTACAATAAAAGATAATGTAGCATAAATTTATGAACGCTTCAGTAAGTAGCTTGCTTTGGAACTATGTTCTATGATCACCAACAAAAGTTTCATTGCTGCTGTTGTTTATCTGATCTACTCATCAATAGCAAAAATATAATTACATTAAAAAATATAATTAAGAAATATACATGTTATTATGAAGTTATTAACTTTAAAACTAAATATTGTTTTCTGTGTTATTCTCTTTTAGGGGTCCAGTGAGTCCGATGGGTAGCCTCAAGTCAGGCATGCAACAAGGAGGACATGGAGGAGGAGGAGGAATGGGAGGAGGTGGGATGGGAACAATGGGAGGAGGGATGGGAACAATGGGT